CCCCAAAACCCCAAAACCCCAAAACCCCAAAACCCCTTCATTAAATTAGCACTTGAAAATCCCTCTAAATAAAAAAGTACGAGTGATCTTTATCATGAAACTTATGTATTATTCTTCATAGATGTTCTACAGCATGCAGGTCATGACTTCGACATGCCCAAAGCCATACATTTCCATGTAATATCATATCTCCTGCTTATTGAGGCCGCAGTCTAGGACGCCTAGTCTCTTCAGATTGACTCTGAAGTCTTCACAATAGCAGAGCCCAGCAAGCAAGTTCTCGAACTCATGAGGGTTGGCTTTCCAGTTTCCATGTCCAGCGTTGCCTGTGTCCATCAAGTCGAGAGTATTCAGCGTGCATCCATCAAGATACTCTCCGAAGTTTGGTGCTGACGAGAGATCTAGCTTACAATCATTCAGAGCAAGTTTTACCCTGTGCTTGTTGTAGTAGAGAATTGTGGCAAGTTCTTGCTGGTTGATCTCAAAATTGGCAAGAGACATACTCTCAGTGACTCTTTGTCCAACTATTGCTAGCTCATCCATGAAAGGAGTAATGGGCATGAGCTTCGACATATAATTGAACTCAAGCTCTTTGAGGCTACTTGGGAAGTGATTTCTCATGAAAGTTTTGACAATCTTCTTTTTCTTTCTAGTCGGGATACTCTGTATCTGCAGGGTTGCAATTGGAGGCAACCTCTGATGGAATGCCTCCAGTAGCTCTAAACGATGAGGCTTTGCTAGGGGCAGAGTGAGCATCGTAGTTTCATCAAACTGTGCGTCATAGTTCAGTATTTCTGAATACAACCTGATCATTTCGGCATAGCTCATGATAACTTCCTATGTACATGGTCAGAAGAGGGTTACTAGAAATAGAAGAAAAATAAATTGGACAATAAATGTTTGAGATTTCTTGGATGTGTTAAATTTTTAAATTTTGAAGCAAAAAGGACTGAAAGAGCTCAAACAGCTGGATAGGTATAAAATGTATCTTTAGCGAAAAGATGACTGCTCTTAACAGAATATTGAGGTTAGAAATATTTTAGAAGGGTATGAGTGAGAAATTATCACCTAAAATTAACCTATCTTGAAATGGGATATCTAAAATATCTTACCTCTTCAGCCTGTTCTCCTCCAACACCTGACTCTGCATATGATGCTGCCAATGCATTCTCTTGGCTCCCACCTGCAACCTGGGCTTTCAGTTCTTCAACAGTGGTCTCCAGTTCTTGGTTGGTGTTCTCGAGCTGTTCAATGCAAGCATCTCTTTGCTTGAGCTCTTCATTAAGCTTGTCAATTTGGCTGAGACATGCAGCCAGGTCTTGGCTTGGAGCTTCAGAATGGCTGGTTGGAGCTGTTTCATGTTGAGTAGGTGTGCTGTTCATTTGGCTCCAGAACCTGTCAAGCACAAACTTAATGAACAAAGGTTCTTGACCGATGGAATCTTGGAGAGACTCCATTTGTTGCTTCAAAGATGTAAACTCAGCAGAGGATCCTTCTTTAGCCATCCCGTCAAAGATATTCTTTATAACCACAATCTGTTCTTTCTGCTCTTCTGCTAGTTTTTGGGCTGCTTCTTGACAGCTGTTCTCATTAAAACTTGAGAATACATCAAGGGCTCTCATCATCGCATCGATCTTACTTTGCACTTCTTGAGGAAAAGTCATAACTTTTTCCTCATTTTCTATAGATTTTAACATAAATTATATTTGGCATGATCAAAGTTAAATTTCCCTAAAGGGGTTTTGGGGTTTTGGGGTTTTGGGGTTTTGGGG